GAAAACCGTTGTTACCATTAGATTCTACGTACATTTTTACATAATTATCACTTTTTAATGAATATTAAGTGCTTTACATTTCCCAGTAATTTCGTGAGCGCTATTTCATTGTAACATTATTTAATACATTTTGGCATAAATGGTACCGGAAACTACCTCAATTGACACCGCATTGGAAAACCGTTGTTACCATTAGATTCTACGTACATTTTTACATAATTATCACTTTTTAATGAATATTAAGTGCTTTACATTTCCCAGTAATTTCGTGAGCGCTATTTCATTGTAACATTATTTAATACATTTTGGCATAAATGGTACCGGAAACTACCTCAATTGACACCGCATTGGAAAACCGTTGTTACCATTAGATTCTACGTACATTTTTACATAATTATCACTTTTTAATGAATATTAAGTGCTTTACATTTCCCAATAATTTCGTGAGCGCTATTTCATTGTAACATTATTTAATACATTTTAGCATAAATGGTTCCGGAAACTACCTCAATTGACACTGCATTAGAAAACCGTTGATACCATTAGACTCTACGTACATTTTTACATCATAATCACTTTTAAATGATTATTAAATACTTTACATTTCCCAATAATTTCGGGGGCGCTTTTTTATGTTTAAATTTTTGTATAACTATAAGAATGCATACATTTTAGTGATTTTTTTCTTATAAATTGATAAAATAACAGTTAGACATTTTCATTATTGACGATGAAAAGAAAAGTTGTTGTTTCATTAAAATTGAAATGCAGATGAAAAATATCATTCTTGACGTTCCAACCAATTAAGCTATTTCAATCCACTTAGAATAAATTCACTGGTTTCCTATTGGATCTTCCAAGTGTACGAGACAGGCAGACAGGAAATAGAAACAAAAACCTGAGGTGTTCCACCCTCGACCGTTCATTTGTCATCAGTTTTTGCGCTAACAAGTTTCAGAAGCGTGTTTATTCATCATTTGAAATGGACAATACAGAGTTCACTTTTCCTATCCTAAATTACGACTTTACTTCAAAATTTCGTTGGATGAAAAATGATATTCAAAGAACCGATCATTATTATAACACGTGGTTAGATTGGTTACCCAGCAGTAGTACGCCTTTTGCGACAAAAGTGAGTGAAAAATGTAAAAACTTAAAGGAACAAAATCATTTTAACAAAATTGAATCGAAAAATGGCGCGCATAAAAGTTTTGATGATTTGTATAACATCGATCGATACCGTAATCGATATGATAAAAAATTACCATGTTGGAATACTGTTGTCTGTGAGTCATGGAAACATAAAAATTACAGAGAAACTGATGTAGTAATAACAGGTAACAGGCAGATTAGCACATAGTTTTCAATATATTGTTATTTTTTAATCATAATTTTATTTATCTTTTTATTGTTTTACAGATAATCACTCATCTTGCTGCTCCCCTAAATCCAGAAAAGAACGAACAGCGTTTACTAAAGAACAAATTTCAGAATTGGAAGCAGAATTTGAAAACTCTAATTATTTAACACGTTTGCGAAGATATGAGATTGCTACTGCCCTTAATCTTACTGAAAGACAGGTAAATAAATACACTCAATTATTTATCAATCATTTTAATTTTCAAACGGTTAGTGATAAAATATCTAACAAAAATGAAAACATGAACATATCTTTACCTATTTATTAATGTGTGGTAATCTAGAAACATAAATAATTTGTATACAAGTAATAAAAAAAGTAATTCTTGTTTAATTCATTACTGGTTCAATAATCTTTGAAAGTCGTTAACATAGTTTCCCGATAAACCAGCTTGCGGGGGTGAAAATTAATGAAACGATTGCCTAATTTATTATAGCATTATGTTAGGTATATGCCTTTGAGTATGAGTATNAAAGCATTATTTAGATAGTTGATCTCATTCCACCTACATGATAAAAATGTTACTCAATTTATATTATGTTCTTGTATGTGAAAATGTAATATTCTGCTTGTGTGGCATAAGTCTTTTCATAAGTACAAGGCCGTTTTAATGAGTTTTCGCGTTAAATAAAAGTAAGAATTCGCAAGCATAGTTGAACAAGTTTATGATCCATAATGTAAACAGTAATTGCTAATTTGACATTAAAATATACCATGAATCATAACTGTGTGGTATAATTTGATGTTATTTTTAAGTAAATCTTGTATATGGTGATTTTTTCTTTAATGCTGTGCATAATTTATTGTTGAATAATTAACAATCAAGCAACTGGTCAAGTGTGAGTCAGGGTTTCAAACTTTTGGTGATCATATTAAGTAAATTTCAGTTTCAAAATACTTTTGAAGAATACTAAGAATATAACAACTTATCCAAATAATTTTGTCGGGGATTCCCCTGCTTTCTATTGTATTGTCACATTTGTTAAAAATGATTTTTTTATAGATACATTAATTTGCATGTAGGTTATAGAACACAAGGAATTAACTAAATGAATCGAGTGATTTAGGTTTATGTTTGTTTAACTAACTGGTATTTAATTGTGATCGCATTTGTTTAATAACATTGTCTTTTGTCTTAATAAAATGCGAACCATCAATTCATCTGTTTGTTACTTACAATTAGAGTAATGAACTCTTTGTGGTGTTTAATATCTAGTTTATTAGTCACTTTCGCAATTGAATACATCTTATCAAAACTATTATTAAGAGATAAGATGTTTATATCACTGTTTTTAATTTTTCAGTACCGCCTTGAACAAATTAATGTTTAAATTTCATTTTTGAAGTAATTAGAGATAGATTAACAGAAAGTTAAGTTAACAGTAATAGAGAATGAACTTACAAGTAATGATTCTAAATATGATTGCAAATCAGACATATAAAAAAGGCAATCTGTTATATATCTAAAGTTTTACATTTCGAAAACTAACATTTTATTTATGTAAATGATCGGAATAAAAATAAATTAACATATCCCGAGTCTGTCAACGAATAAAATAATTAATTTTCATTGCACTTCTAAAATTAATTAAATAGAAAAGGAAATGCTAATAATATAAACTGTTAGAAGGTTGTCTAACATGAATTTTACATTAACATTAACACCCACCAGTTCTTTTCCGATTCATGTTTATTTACCGTTGATGAATTCAAAAAATTCTCTGCGGAAATAATAGGATTTTAATGATCGTATAAATCTTCGATGAACTGGCATGTCAGACTCAAACTGACTTGACTGTTTCAAGGATATGGAAAGGATTTTTACATTTTTTATTGCTTCGTCTTTCAATTTTGCAATTTGTCGTAGGATTGGGTTACTCAACAAAAGGGGCCTTAAAAGACCGTTTGAAAAATGCACAAACTAAAACAGTCATATCGCAATATTATTTGGATAGACAAAAACTAAAAGAAACTAACAAATATATGTATTATGGGTGAATTATTTCTATTGTAATTACACAATTCAATGAATAGTTTTATAATTATGGAAAAGTCTTTAAATGGTTTCTTACTTGATGTCTTTTAAGGTGTGAATTAAAGCGAATACAAATAGAAAAATAACTATAAAAATTGTTATGAATAAATTTGATCCTTACAATTTCAGGGACTTAACAAACAAAGCCTGGATATATCTAAAGCGAAAATAATTTTTGTAATTCATTGTTGTTTTATTGTAGAAGAATTTTGGTACGTACCAAACCGCTACTCTGATTTATTCTTAACTTAAATGTATTTGTTGACAACATTTTAATATTCCTTCAGGCGATTTTCGCCAATTGCAATAAAACTACTAAGTACTTACTCGAATAATCGAGATGATTCTTTTTGGCCACCATTGTTACCAGTTTATAGTTCACGCACTTTCACGCACGAAATTCTAAATAAGAAAAACAACTACAAGTGTCTAGAAATTTGTAGAAAGATTGGCTCGAAGTACTGATCGGTGTTTTTCCCCGAAGAACTTAGATCACTGTTCATTCACTGATATTTACCCAACGATTACCATCTCGTTTTCAACGCCTACCTATTTTCTGTGTAATTTGTACCATTTTGTAACCATGACTTTAAGGTGTATTAACCAACAACTAAAATTAAACTGGTGACGGATTATATTAATTACAAGTTAATATTGTACTTGTTTACAACTTTTTAATATCGAGAGTAACTTCATAACTGACTCAAAAAACTATTATGTGGTACCAGCGTTTGTCTCCGGCCAAGTACCTACTACTAACTTACTGATTAAGTTGCCGATGTTTTTTTTTAATTGCAAACAAACCGAGTACAAGTCTAAGTACCTTACACACATGCATAAAGTTACGTGGGCTACCTTTGCTTATCTTTATGCTCGTGTTTCACCTGACCGTGTAAAAATGAGTGAGTACCATTAGCAGAATCGGGCGGTTAAAGTACTTCGGTACCACAACGCTGTAGATTTGTTTCTACGATTGCTACGGACATGTTAGTATTACGTTGGTTATTACGTGAATTTTCTTCAGTGGCAGGGTCCTGTCGGAGGATGACATCATCCTTGTGTTGACACTGCTTTATTACACACGCATAAAATTTTGTTGGGCGTTAATTTATTGTTTATTTAAGTTGTTATATGGGGACTTTATAATGTCATTAATTGGTTGTTTGGGTCGTGAAATATGCACTGCATACACATGTACGAAAATTTGAGGTCAGTACGAAATGGGATGAAGGGTGGGAACTTCTTAGACCTACTATGCGTAATAGTATTTCAGTACTGTTGGAAGATTCCTATAAAGTACCAAATTACCTGTTTGATGAACCTAATGTGTAAGGATTTTTGATATCTTTTCGACAAATATATAACTGTATTCTAGGTATTAATCCTGACGTCTCATCGTCATCATAAGGTCGTCAGTCCTAAGACTTGTAGGACACAATATGAAGATTGGAAAAACTTTGACGGTTGTTGTAGAACAAACAAAATAGCTCAAACCCCAACGCCAAAACACGACGCTGTAGTTGTCCGAAGCACTTTTCAGTTCTCAGTTCACTTCAGTCCCTGAAGAAGGTAAAAGTGCTTCGGACAACTACAGTGTCGTGTTTTGGCGTTGGGGTTTGAGCTATTTTGTTTGTTCTATGGTTGGACACGCACTTCCACTCTTTCCTAACCTGAGCAAATCTTCGCATTTCCTTCCTAAAAGTACAACATCCCACATCCTTAACTATTTGTGAACAGTAAGGAAGATCGGGGAATGTCAAATAAATTAAAAAGAAACTTACATATTCTTTAACAAAAATTGAAGGCTATTTAATGACAATCGAGGAATCTTAAATTTAAATCAATTAATTTTGAACAAAAATCAAAGAATCTTAAACAGAAAGAAACTTGATTTGGTCATTCCTTTTACACGATGATTTGAGACACTTATTTCCGAAAGTCTTTTGAGTGTGTAATAAGTCTCGTAGTTAATTGGTGTAGGGCGAAAAGGTGCTTTTTTCTCCTTTATCGGTTAGGTCTACCCCTACTCCTCTTAACTCCTGTTTCTGCTAGCCTTTCATGTCTGAGAAGGTGTCCTACCAACCTATCTCGTCTATTTCTTATTGACTTCCATATGTAGTGACCTCTGCTCTCACATTCTTCCTAAGCCCTCCTCATTTTTAACCTTCTCTATCCACAGTATCCTCACCAAAATTTTTTACCTTCCGTATATTATTCAAATAATACTTTTTCTAGACAGTTGGATAAGTACTTTTGGTAATTATTGAAATATTACAGTCTTAACGATTCAAAATTAGAAATGAACACGTTCAAAATTTCTTGCGAAGGGCATTACAAGGTGTCCAAGATTTAATTAGATATTCTCGTTTTCAAAATGATTTTGGCCCAAATCCGAAAAGCGTACGTTCAACTTTCTGGCTAATTCTGCTATACACAATACGCATATTTATAATTATGACTAAACAATTCAAAATCAAGGGCTTACAGTTACACTATTCAATCATACACTTACAGATTGTCAATTAATGACGAGGAATTGTAAATTACATCGTCAAGTGCAGTCAACGTATGCCACAATTTAATAACATAATCTAGTGTCCTAAATGTGAAAAAAAAATCGGTTGTCTGTAAAGTCGGTTTACTGACGATAGTTGAACGTGACAACGTCATATGAAAATACTGATGGAATGGTTTCATTTTTCAAAAGAAAATTTTAATTTTGTTTGATAGATATTTTGTATGGATATAGAGGAGGTAAATGGAAATGTATTACTATATAGCAGCTGTCCACGCGTTCGCATTGCTCACTCAAGTAGGAGAGAGACAGATGTCGAACGCTGCCGAATGCGGAGGCCGATTGTGCCTCTTTGTCGCTCGTTCCGCGCTCTCGCTTGCACTTCAAGCCTTAAATGGAACGCCTCAGAGTGAGGTAACGCCGCATGAGTCATGTTTTTTCGTGCGTGCAGCCGGCTCCATCGAATTATAAGACGTTGTCACGTCAAAAAAGATACCTCCCGTATGTCGTTATTTGATTGATCCGGGCTCAAACAATAGCCGAACTTGATACGTAGGAGTCAAAGAGGTCAAATTGACCATTTTATCTTTCGAAATGAATTCCGTTACAT